CACTGAGCATAAATTTTCTACGTTAAAAGACAGTTTCATTGGAGGGAACATCTAAAAATGAAAATACAGTTTTCAGAATCTATGTTTAGGGATGAATAGGCTAGATGGAAAAGCTGTGGTGACCTTTCCTCTGTTGGCATGACTTGCTCCCTATGGTGTATCCCCCAGTTGCACTAATTTCAGTTTAAGGATCTCAGGCAATGGCGTTTCACCATATTGAGAATGCTTCAAATGAACATATTGTTGGTTTATAAATCCCGTGTGATAAAAATGCATATTTTTTTTTCTTCCATACTGTTTAAATCCTTCTTCCCAGTGTGTTTTTAAGTAATTTCCAAATAGCTGTTTTTTCCTTGGCATTTTTATCCTTTCTAGATGAAGCTGTTCAAAAGTCTTAAACTTGGCTTCTTACTGTTCTTACAAGAGTCAATAGCTGAAGCACTCTGTGCTTCAGCTTTTCGTCTCTTGAAGTCAGTGGATGTGACTACTTGCCTGAGAGGTGATATGGAAAATCTGCATTGTCTTTTTTGATTCAGCTTGGTGTGGAAATTTACAATTGCTTGCAATTCTGATAACTGTAGCAGCAAAAAAGGAGCTCATATTTGGATGCAGAAAATTTGCTGTGACCTCATTTTGGAATGTAAACAGAATGGCACAAGCTTGACTGAAAAAAAATACAACACTCTGCATCTGCGTTCCTTCCATACCATTTTAGAAGCAGCAAATGCAGTCCTTCCCACTGTGAGACAAAAGCAAATATATCAACTAAATTAAGTAATAATTATTTTCCACCAGGAATGTCAGTGTTGATTTTTAGTCAGCACAACCTGTCCCAACACCATGCATAATTTTGCCATTTTAGAGGTATTGCGCTCTAACCAAATCCACTTTCATGTTAGTAGTAGTAACAAGTAGTTAGATTACCTCTATGCATTCTGAGCTCAGCCCTGTCTGAACCTGGCATGAGACTTAAGCCATTAAGAATTAAACTGTTGCCACAAAAAATGATTTAGACTTCCAAGGAAAACCCCCTCTGAGCTGAGGGACAGCTTCCTTTCAAATGCCTTTTGACACTGGTTTCCAAAGTCTTGTTTACCACATTAAAAAGGAACTGTGTCTGAAATAGGGAGAATACAGCAAATTAACACAGAATATATAATCCAAGGGCCTGGTCCCATGGACATAAAACACAGATTTAACCTTATTCCCAGTGAAAAGCTTGGTTTGATCAGTGGTTTACTCCTAAGAATAATACTCTGCACCTCCTTCTGTGTGCAAGCTCAGAGTCCTCTGTTTAGAAAATCATACTAATTGAATGGAACCTTGATAACAAAGCATGAAAATTCTTTGTTTCTTGCAGTTTGTGTATTATTTAAGTTAGAGCCAAATGAAAGAATACAGGATTTTATTGCTATGGCTGTTACAATGGATTTCTACCTTAGATTATCTCCTAAAATGACCAGTTTATGATCATTCAAAGAGGAGCACAGATTTTTTTAATTACGTCTGGTAACACCCGAGATATTGGCCAGAGACCAAGAATACCTCTTATACTAAGTTTTCAGGAGGGAATGAGAAATCTGTTATAGCTGTCTGGACCAAGAAATTACGTACATCAAGAAATGATGGCTAGAAATCTGCAGCAGCTCCTCAGAGGAGACTGAGGTGATTCAAGTGCTATGCTCTCCCAGGAAGTTAGTGGTACACTTGATGACCCACCTAAGCACTTCCATCTTCCATTAGAATTTGATATTCCGTCCTGGGTTCAGCAGTAGCAGTCATGTTTCTCCTCCTTGGTAGCTGGTGTAGTGCAGTGTTTTGACTTTCGGCTTGGGAACAGAGCTGATAACAATGATGTTTTGGTTTGGCCAAGGACTTTGTGAGCCTCATGCTCTGCCAGGGAGGAGGGGAAGCCGGGAGGAAGCACAGACAGGACACCTGACCCAAGCTAGCCAAAGAGGTATTCCATACCACAGCACATCATGCCCAGGATGTAACTGTGAGTGAGCCAGAAGGGCTGGGGGACTGCGGGGTTGGAGGAGGTATGGGTCGGTGCTTGGTCGGACTGGGGGGGGCGAGTTATCGGTCGGCTGGTGGTGAGGTGTTGTATTCTCTTCCCCTGTTATTTCCTTTATCATTGTTATTATTGGTAGTAGCAGTAGTGATTTGTGTTATACCTTAGTTACTAAACTGTTCTTATCTCAACCCGTGGGAGTTGCATTCTTTCCAATTCTCCTCTCTGTCCCTCCGGGAGTAGGGGGAGGGAAGGAAGGGGGGGGGAGTGAGTGAACAAGTTGCCTGACTGGGTTTAAACCATGACATATTCAAATACCACTTTCGGGGCACAGGTAACCTTGAGCCTCTTTTGTAAGAAAAGGATGAAGATATAAATGTCAGAGTCCTGACTGCACTAAGAAGGTCTGCAGCCTCTTCCCTTACCACCCAAGGATATAGTGTCCTGTGTGTTGAAGGACAGCCCTGATACTGTACAGTGTATTCAGGGCCCAGGCTGCTATGAGAAGAGCTATGTGGGAATGCTGTGAGAAGCCTTCTCAAGGGCCTTTCGTTCATTAGCTAGGAGCTGCACTGAAGTTCAGGCATTCAGCTTTGGTTGTTGCCTGAGCTGTGTTGTGGGTATACCTGTGCCTGGTCTTGTACCTTGCTGATTCTGACCCTGCCTTGCCCACCGGGCTTCCCAGCTTGACCTCAGACCTGCCTTGTCACTACAGACCTCTCTGCCAGTCTGAACTCTCAGCTGACTTGGGTTGATGTCACTGAACTTGTTCTGCTCTTTGTGTTTGAGTAGTGTGGGACTGCTCTCTTCTTGGTGAGGTCTCTGCTCCTGTCTGCCTTGCTGTCTGTCTTGGTTGACAGCTTCCCCCTCTATGTGGAAAAAGCCACTGCTGCCCTCTGACAGTGAGGCCTGTAATGCAGCAGTTTTACCCTAGCACCATTATTATGAGTAGCAATATTGCACTATGGAACCCTTCAGTACATGAAAATGACCAAGGATCACCTGGTGCAAACAGGAATGGAACAAGACCCTTTTCACAATGGCAGATCATCACAGGGACACCCTTCCTGTCCCTAAAGCTACTGTCAGTAGCATGGGGCAGAAGTCTGGCAATGGAATTTGTAGCAGCTGAAGCCTTAGTTTTGCTGGAAAGAAACCTGTCTTTTGAACATCTGTGTCTGGAGAAGGAGAGAAAGACAAATGTGCTTACAAGAAGCAGGAGCCATGAGCTGAGGAAGAAGCCCCGTAATGAGTTCAGATTAGATTAAGTTAAGGCAAACTGACATTTTGGAGAAAAAGAATCCTACTTACACAATGATTGGTTTTCAATTACCTATTACCACTGGGAAAGTCATCCTGCAGTCTGTGCATTTAGCTCTTTGAAAACCTCGGTGGAAGGCAAAAGACAAGTCAAATGACAGGAATTATTAAGTAAGGAAGAGCTAGTAAAACAGGAAGCAGCATTATGCTCCAGCATAAATCCATGAATAGTGTGTGTGGTTTTGATTCCCTGATCTTTAGGAAGATGATGTATAACTAAAAAAGGTAAAAAGATAATCTTTTTCTTGCATTAGCCTTGGTATGGTAGCAAGCAACTTACATGCTTTTTTCCAGTGGCCCAGATATGCTTTTTAGGAGTTTTCACCCCTTTGAAGCTGGCTGTTAAAGCTGTCGGTGGCTCTTTGTGTTCAGTTTCCAGCACTTGGGCACTTTCTCTCTAGGCCATGATATAGCAGTTCTTGCAGTACTCTTGAGGCAATTCTCACTAGACAGAGTTATGATTAGCGCTAATTTTAGAAAAAGTAAGTCACGCATATAGCTGGGAAATGGTTGCAACCATCTGTAATATATCAGCCACATAAATAAACTTCCCATCTTTTCTTCCACTAGCAAAGCACCATCAGGACACAAACTCATCCTATTTCATGACAGAATTTCCAAGCCCTGCTAGACAGCTGAAATTTCTCAGGAACTCTTCTGAATCAAGTAGGAAATCAGCCTGCAAAGGCCACAAATGTGGAGTTGCAGCATCTGCAAAGTTTCTGCATCAGTACAGACTAATATTTGAATCAGGAAGCAAGCAGGGCCAGTTGCATACCTGGCTGCATGCTGCTGGCTCGGTTGCTCCCACTTATTTGAAAACTCAGCAGAAATACAGTGCCTGTCTTGTCAGAGACATGTCTTACAAAAAACAGTATGACACATGGCTGCAAAGCAAGTTTAGCAGGTAAGGCCAAAACTGGGTTGGGGTTTTCCTCCCACATTGTCCCTCAAAAAATCCTGATTCGACAGCATTTGAGCTCTCCAAATGCTCAATGTTCTCTGCTCATGCTTTTATGCCCTATATATGCCACTCTCATGCAGAAGAGAAGAGGGAGCTGCTTGAGTTACCAGGGATGTGGAACACAATTCAAATGACGATCCTTTCTTTTATATGCAATTTTGGATTTTATTGTAAGACAAATGTACTCAAACTAACACAGTCACGCACTTTATCAATATTTTAAGCAAATACAAACTGATAATATATTTGTTCATTTTTATTAGATCTTTTACACGCATCCAGATCATTAGCCATGGTCACAAATACCTTAGAGTCATAGAATGGTTTGGGTTGGAAGGGACCTTAAAGATCATGTAGTTCCAACACCCTGCCATGGGCAGGGACACCTTCCACTAGACCAGGTTGCTCCAAGCCCTGTCCAGCCTGGCCTTGAGCCCTGCCAGGGATGGGGCAGCCATAGCTTCTCTGGGCAACCTGTGCCAGGGTCTCATAGTAAAGAACTTCTTTCCAATACCTAATCTAAAACTACCCTCTCTTCAGTTTAAAGCCATTCCCCTTTGTCCTATCCTTACAGGCTATTTTGTAAGCCCCCTTTAGGTACTAAAAGGCTCCTCTAAGTTCTCCCCTGAGATTTCTCCAGGCTCAACAGCCACAACTCTCTCAGCCTGTCTTCACAGGGGAGATGCTCCAGCCCCGTTTGTGGCCCTCCTCTGGACTTGCTCCAACAAGCCCATGTCTTTCTTGTGATAAATGCAGCACTCCACGTGGGGTGTCATGAGAGCAGAGCAGAGGGGCAGAATCACCTCCTTCAATCTGCTGGCCATGTGCCTTTTGATGCAGCAAGTTCTTTCTTTTAAAATTTAAGTTAATCCTGATGTATACAAGAACAAGAGAGGTAAGAACCAAGTCCCACATTTTTTATTAAAGTTGTCATTCTAGCTTTCTCATTCCCTGTCAAGAAATTTACCTACAGCAGCTGCAGTATTAGTCTTTATAAGTTTCCAGAGCATTGAAGAAGCTTCTAATAGCTCCAAGAAAAAGAGCTTCTTCTCTTTTCTGATGTGCAACCTGTAGCCCTCCATTAAGCAGGTCAGATTTTTCATCGGCTGCCATGCTCCATTGCACAGCAACACTCCAAAGAAATCTAGCAGCCAAAACTGAGTGTTTCTGAGAGTCAAAAATCAAGTAGATTTAAAATTGCCCTAGGGAAAACATTTTGTGAAGACATCACTCTCGTATATATAATAGCATGGCAGGTCGCAGGTGTTATGTATCACCCTGTGAAGTGTCTGCCTCCATGGCCCCAGTATAACAATAAGCCCATAGCAGCAATCGAAAGCAGAACAATAACTGTGCTTGCACCAGAGATACCTGTGAAATGGAAAGTAAACAAGACCTTTGGTTTTGGCTTTGCCAAGGCAATCTTGCATGGCATATTAATATATTTCATACTTCATTGGTACACTTAATGTATACTCCAGAGTACATCCCCTTCCTTTGGGAATGTCATCACTTAGCAAGATGCTAAAAATGGCTTGAGAGAGGATCTAGCATCACCACTGCACTATTTTTTCCCCTGTGTGCATGCATGTGTGACAATTTTGGCACCTCCCTTGGAAAATCTATTATACATATTTCCTCCAAATCATCTTTCCCCCACCTCTGATTTTTCTGAACCATAGGTTTCAAACTGAATTAGCTCCACATAGGGCAATAACCTGTGTGGGTTCAGGTGAGATAATACTGAGAAAGTAGTTTTTTTCTGCTTACTGCAATTGATACTGAAGGTGACAAATTCTATTCCCTGTGCTACTCTTAGCTCTGCAAGTGACCCCAGACATTGAAGGCGTCACTGATTCTGGCTTTTTGAATCAGAGCAGGGCAAATCTGGAAGCATGCAAATAAACAGCAAAGACTGAGGAGCAGGCCCCTTGAAAAGACTGTTATCTCATACTCAGGTGTCAGAACCAGGTATTACTGGAGAAATAAAAAAGTTCCCCTGTAGACAAAGGGTTTCTATGAAAATTTAGTCCTTATTCTGAGAGATACTGTCATGCCATGGAAAAGAGATACAGATTTAGGCCCAAAATAATTATACTACTGTTTTAGAAAAATCAAAGTGAAAGCAATCTAATTGAAAATTCCTTTTACATACCCCAAAACTTGAGTGAAAACTATTGCTGATCTAAAATTTTTTGAAAGTAGAGTTTAAATAGGACAGATCTGAACTGAGAGAGCAGAAAAACCCACCTAAAAATAGCCAGCCACTATTAGCAGTTGCCAAGCATGCCTTGGAACTGCAATATAATTCAGCCTGGCTGGGACAGAACCCTTCCTCCAAACCAGTCCCCAGGTGCCAAGGTAATAATGAGATACGTTAGAAATCATACAAAAATAAAACATCAGATGATACCATGGGCACACTAAGCAGGTGCCAAATTAATGGACATTTAGAGGACTCCATCTGAGGATACTCTCTCTGCACACCAAAGAACAGCACTCTGAAACCTGTGTGAATATATCTGGTGAACCAGATATTCACAGAATCAAAGAAGAGTTTGGCTTGGAAGGGACCCTCAAAGGTCACATAGTCCAACCCCCCTTCAATGAGCAGGGACATCTTCATATTCACCATCTTTTGTCCATTTTTAGGCAGATTTGGTTGAAGGAGTACGACAGGGAAAACTTGGAAGTTCAGCAGCTGGAGATGCTTAATGGGCTCTTGAAGAGATGTGGAAGGCATTAAAGAGGTAGGAGTGGGAGAAAAAGTTAAGGGCTCTTTTCCCTAGGGCACTGTGATCCTGGGTGTTGCGGGGAACCTGAAATAGTAAATGGGAATTTGCTCATAGGCATTTACTCTGAAGATAGATTTGCTCAGCATCAAGGACATAGGTTTGTAATTCTCTCAATAGTGACATGTTTTAGTTCCTACTTCTAATTAAAGTAGTTGGAACTTACGGAGCTGGATGGGATACACCCAAGGGTACTGAGGGAGCTGGCAGAAGGGCTCACTGAGCCACTTTAGTAGTTTTTCAGCAGTCCTGGCTAACCGGGAGTTTTTTCCCCAAATAACAAGTTATAGGACAATAGGTAATGGCCTCAAGCTGTGCCAGGGGAGGTTTAGATTGGATATTACAAAAAATTTCTTCAAGCATTGAAACCGGCTGCCCAGGCACGTGGTTTCATCACTGTCCCTGAAGGTATTTAAAAGATGAGTAGATGTGGCACTTAAAGACATGGTGCAGTGGTGGACTTGGCAGTGCTAGGCTTATGGTTGGACTCTATGATATTAAAGGTCTTTTCCAAGCTAAATGATTCTGTGATTCTATGATTGCAATTCTGCTCCTGGGAAGGTATTCTGCATCTAGGATGGTGCAATCCTGGATGTATATATAGTCTGGGGAACAAGAGGCTGGGCTGCACCCTGAAGAGAGGGATCTGGGTTGATGATAAGCTCAATATCAGTCAAAGTGTGTGGCCAAAAGTGCCATCATTTCCTAGGGCATCTCCAATGAGCAAGTAAAAGGAGCCCCTAGCCCAAAGACATCCCACCTGGTCTCTAGCAGGATCTTTGCCCTTCAGCGGGACACAAATTCCCTGTGAGCTCTGTGTAACGGCTGCCCTTGGGAGTCTCAAATAGCACAAGACACCTATGATTTAGGAACCAACCCTTCAACCTCCTTTATGGTAATGGTGCCATAGGCAGCTGCTTCATCATAGACACTTTACACACCTAAATTTAGGTGCCTGAATCACATCTTATAAATGGATTCTAATCCCACCACTAATGCTGTCTTCTTTAGTTAGAGCACTCCACTGCTCCACTTCAGTTCTGATACTCTACAGCACCAATGTTGCATAAACCATCTGGAGCTGCAATTTATCTCATTAGTCCATCAGTCTGCATGGGATCTACATGAAGGCGCACAGGGAATAAAAGAGAGAGTTTGGGAAAAAGTCCAAGATCCAGTCTGAGAGCATGTGATTGAAAAGCTAGCTGCAATCAAAGAAATTCAGGAAATATTTCTCTGGTAACAAAAAACCCAGCCTTTTCCTGGAATTGTCCCACACAGTTAATGAAACAAATGAAGAGCTGTATCTAACTAACTTGCAGATATGAGCTGTTGCGTAAGTTTATTCTAACTTTTAGAAAGTGCTTTGAAGGGATTTGTTATTATTCAGGTATGACACAAGGATTTACCCAATCTGGCATGCTATGGTTCCTTCCCTAGGGATCTATTGGACAGTCACATATTGAATCTTCTAGTTGTTCTCATTAACGGGAAACTTGTGGTTGTGATGCCATATTTCAGCTTAAAGGGGTGCTTCTTGGAAGTTTTACTTCTGCTGCGCTTATGGATGGGAAGGGCACTTATTGAGACACTAAGAACTTGCCTGCCACAGCTTGAGGGGGAAGTCCCTGAAACACTTCCTGCACTATAAAGAGCTTTAGCTTTCATAGCAGGCTCCAGCTAGCAGAAACACAACCTGATAGAGAAGGGAATGATTAAATACTGCCATCACCTCAACACCAGGAGATCAGGTGCCGCTACATGTAGGACTGCTCAAATACAGAGGAATGACTCAGACTTGGGCCCTGTGCTATGAGGGTGTCTAGGCCCTCCTACTACAGCAAGATGTGTCTTACTAATCCAACTACTTCTCAGAGCAGAAGCAGCAAGTTAGATGGTCTAATTAGCTTCAGCAGTGGCCAGGAGGACTTGGTCAAGCAAGATGTCTTATTTGAGCTCAGGAAAGTGTCTCCTTGGAGCCGCACCAAAACAGATGCAGTCTCTGGCAGCTGGTCTGGGAATTCCCAAAACTATTGTGACTTCCAGAAATGGCTTTGGAGGTAAGTATCCCTGTCTTCAGGCAGGAGGAGTAGTGGAGCAGGAACTGTGCAGTGGTAAGTTAAGGTGATCAGTCAAGAGTTCGTGGCAGCTTTGTGCTGATGAAGGTAGCAGAGCAAAGCCTTGCTGTGCAACAGGATCTGGCCCTTTCTGTTGACTTGTCCAGGTATAATATATAATGCTTCCCCAGTGAACGGACAGGATATTTATTCTTTCCCTAACCTGTATTACCTGTATCTCTACCCCTTTTCAGTGTTCTAAAATATTCCTCAAAGATTAAGAGATCACAGATGTACCATGACAAGTGTGAAATTCTTCATATAAACCCAGAATTTGTCTCCACTGAAAATTCTGAGTAATTCCTGAGCAGTGTGCTGTAGGTGACCCTGCTGGAGCAGGGAGGTTGGATTAGATGACCTTTGGTGGTGTCTTCCAGCCTCAACTATTCTGTGATTCTGGAGTGAGTTCTGAAAGTGGCAGGCTGATTTTGTGCCTGCTGCTGTTCAGTGTTGAACACTAGCAGGTCTCTGTTATAACAGTCTAAATTTATTGGAATTCTGCTCTTAAAGTGATTAGAAAATGACTGGGAAAAAATAATGTAAAAGAACACATCCTATAAAGTTTCTGTCACTCCATTATAGAAATCCCAGCAGGTTTGGAGAAACATGAAAGAATTCTGGCTTAGTGAGCCTCAGAACTTCTGCACATCTGTTCATGAATTATTTCTATTTATTATTTCTACCTTTTATTGCTTTAAGACTCTAACTGCTATTGGGGCCCTTCTTATTATAAAAGCATATAGAAAAAAAGGCTCTTCTCTGAACAACTTAGAGTTTCCATAGGTGAAGAAGACAAGTGTTGCGTATTTTCTGTGTGTCTTCTCTAAATACATGGTGTGTTGCAAATTTAGAATGACTCAGTAGATGGGGCTGGAATTATTTCCACTTGAACTAAAAGCCCAGTCAGACTGCATATACTCAGCTGGCAATATGTTGGTGGGGAACTCTAGTTTTGCAAGGATTTCACAAGAGACACTTGGAACGACTTGCTGTGTTGTGCAGATGACTGCATTACAGAATACTGGTGGATTTGTTTTCAACACAGATTTTGGAAGATTTTTATCGCTGCTTGTGCTCTGAGTGACTTCTGAACAACGAATGAGCTTATCAGAATAGTATGAAGAAACTACAAGCTGCAGCTGACTTGTTAATAGTTACATAGCAGCTCCCTTAGCTGTGGTGCTGATTTAGCATACAAAGTCAAATGATTTATGTGAAAATGTAATCCTGAAAGTTTCATGTTTAGTTAATTTTTTTTTAAACTCAAAAAAGCCCCTTATAAACTGATTAACATTGTCAAGAAATGTTATCTAAGCAAATAGAGCTATCCAGGAACTCATTTATCTCAGGCATATGACTTGCAGTTTATCAAAAATAGAGAATGTGCTGAAAAAAAGTAAGTTTCTTCCTTTTGGAAAAAAAAAAAAAACAACAAACCAAAAACCATAAAAAAAAAAACAAACCCTAAACCCAAAACCAAAACAAGCCCCCCCCCCCCCGAACTGTAAATTTCATAGTATGCATAACCTTCTGTATCCATGCTGGAATCGTTTACCTATTTCTCAAAACTTTCAAAATGCTTGCAATTGCCCCCTTCTTCCTATGTTTCTCAGCTGCTTCTGTGATGCAGCCTTACAGAAGAGCATTATTCCTCATGCTGTTGCCTTCACACCTACAGTTATTCTCTCTCAGCTTTCTACACAGATTTTTTGTTGGCTGGGTTTTCTGCTCTTGTTATGCACATATAAAGATATATAGGATCAAGGCCAGGTTGGACACAGCCTTGGGTGACGCGGTCTAGTGTGAGATGTGCCTGCCCATGGTAGGGGGTTGGAACTGCATGACCTTAACGTCCTTTCCAACTCAAGCCATTCTATGATTCTAGGATTCTATGAATATGGTGGGTCAGATTCAACAGTGAAGAAGAAAGCTATATATATTTCCTGACATGACGTGTCAATAAATGGGCACCCTCAGTATGTTTCCAGGGTCTCTGGACAGCTGGCTGGAGAGCAGCAGCAGTCCACCATGCAGAGCAATGGGGACAGGAACAAAGAGAGCCCTGACAGGGTCCAGCCAGTGCTGCCTCCCAAGGGAGCAGCTTTGGGCTCCCTGTGCACAAGCGCTGCCACTTTTGCCTGAGAGCACAGAGCTGGGGTACAGCTTGGGGGCACTGGGGTTAAGCTGGGTCTCCTGGGCTGAGGAGACCAAAAAAGTGAGGCAAAACAAGGAAGTGACTACTGTCTACATGGCTCCTGTCTACATGAAGATTTTGTTATGCAGCTTGTGGCACCAGAAAGCTTGAGGTGTGAGAAGACAGGGTTACTTTTTCTCTGCATGATTTTTCTATAAAACTTCAAGAAACTCACCACTGGTTTTTAATTATACTCTTAGAAAGAATCATGGGGCAAAGAAACTACAGGCAACTGGATTTTTCCTTCTGTGTATTTTCATTTATGCTGAAGTAGACCAAATCATGGATATCAGCTTAGATAAAGCTGATATCTGTATATAAAAATAGCTGCACACAAGAAGAAGTTCAGGACCTGTATTTCAGGCTCCAAAAATTTCAGCACAAACAAATTATTTGAGTCAGCATTTCAAGCCTTTCCCTCTCAAACTGCACTCCTGATTTGTGAGACAGATAGAGAGAAAGAAGAGGCTGTGATTTACTCATTGTTGCTAATGAACTCTTTATTTGAATTACTCTTAAATGGATATTTATTTACTTACTGTCAAGAGAACTTGTTTGCCCTACTGTTCCAATGAAGCCTGTTTGTTGCTTTATGAAACTTTGCAAAGAAATGCATTTTCTGTCCATTTCTTTCCTCTTTACTTTATGGCAGGAGTTAGCTTCCATCTTTTTTCCCCCCAAGTTTCATGAAGGCTTAACCACATCAATATTGTGAAAGTTGCCAGATGGTGTTTTTGCAGGTACTATTTACAAGTCGGATTTAAATGACAGTGTACTTAGACCTTGAAGAAATGATTCTTTTAATTGGGCTGCAGCTATTTTTAAAAGCCATGTTCAGCTCCAAAAGCCAGCAAAACCACTGAAATTCTTTCTTTAACTTATTCAGCCCAAACTTTGGAAATGATTCTGAAAGAATCTGATCCTGTACAGAAAATCCTGTAAGGACTCTTGTGACTACAGTAAGGCTGAAGCAAGTGAACAAACACTTTCCCAGAGCTAGGCCTGTTCTCCCCTAATCAAATCCCTTTTGGGGCTCATTCTGTGACTGCATTCCATAACCGCACCAACCAACATGTTCTCAGAGTATGTTACAATGTAAGTTATAACATGACTAATTATAAGACACTTGCAGTTCAATTTTGTATTTGCTTTGAAGTGTCTTTTAGCCAAAATGGGCAACAGTTATGTGTATGAGAGCCAGAAATCCTCCAAATAGGCATGCTCATATGTATGCTGAGATACCCCCAGAATAGTTATTAAAATGTGGGTTTGTCTGTTATGGTTCTAAACCACATCTTTCAATTATTACTGAAGCTAAAAAAAAAAACAATGGTGTGCCATAAATAGGACTTTTGGATAAACTTTTGGCATCCAGGATTACATGACTTAGCTTCTCACTTCCAACATCTGCTTTAGATTGATTAGCAGAGGTATTCAATACTAATTATTTTGAGGTTTAGCAGCTATGTAAAACATAACTGTGAATTTTGATAACTTCATGGCTCTTAGCCTTCAATTTCTGAGCTGTTAGTAACGACAAAGCATTTAGCTGACGCTTGGTGCTTTATTAAGTTTAAACCATATGCAGATTTGAGACAATGTTCTGATTTTCCTCCTGTTTTCCTTCCATTGGATTATCATACAGTTTGTACTGCTTTACCCACCAGTGGGTGAAAATTTTTGTTAGTGACCTGAATGAAAACCAGCCACACAGAACTCTGTATGAAGTTAACATCAAGAAAAATAGCTGCATGCAAGAAAAAGAGCAAGAGCTTTCAAGTGCCTTACTAATGACTTTTACACGTCTTCCAAAGCTCAGCACCCTTTATTTACAGTGAGCAGGACTCAGCATCATTGCCTGCCTACTGCTTCTCTCCAATTTAAAGCTCTGAGTCAGATGCACCACATCACTTTGCGACAGCTGGCTGTCAGGCACCCTGCAGCTCATCAGCCCTGATGGCAAAAATGACAATGGTACATACAAAGGCACAATGAACTTGCTGTCAACACAGACCAGAGGCACAGTAAAACAATAAGTTTACAGCTTTTTGCCAGCTGGCAAAAGTAAGATTTTGCAGGACTTAATGCATATGGATGTGGAACAAAACAAAGCAAAATGATACTGTTCTTGGGTCTCAGCTACAAGAGAACTAATATGTGATTAGTTTAATCAGTGCAAAAAGCTGTAGTAGGACTTAAAAGTAGTAGAGTTCACAGGGATGTCAGAACCTTCTTCTTTAGCAAGTACTCACCAAAGTAAAGTGTTGCTCTGTATGGGTCACCTCCTAGTGAAGTATGAGCTTCTGAGGAGCGGATCCTTCCTCTTGCACTTGAGTTCAGCAACACGTCTTGTTTCTACTGAGTATCTTCATATAGAGGCTTGTACAACCTGCTTCTCTGTGTCAGCCCTTGAATATGTAAGGGTTCTCGCAACAGAAGCGTTATTTGTGAACAAGGAGTCACATCCATGTCCCCAGTATGGCTGGTGATGAAAGAAGCTATTTAGGACTTTCTGTGCTGTTGGAACTGTTATGGGATGCAGATTCAAATTCTGCTTCCCATCTGTCCTCAGGAACTGTGGTTAGTTTAGCACCACTACCTTTACAGTCATCGGAGATGGGTATGACAGAGGCTGACTCCATGTCAACAGTCAAAACAGGTGAAGGGGCTCAAAGGTCCTGACTGGAGAATGATGCAAATAACACTCCATGAAGAGAAAAGTGGGTGTATGGAGTGAATCCTTATCTGCATGAGGTAATCTCTGTTGCTCAAATACATGCATCATTGCATATGGAGAAACTGCAGCTAGAGACAGAAATAGCCAGAAATAAAACATTTAATATTTATACTATTGTCATAGCTCTGACATTCAATAGAATATTACAACTCTTTGCAGAAAACCATGTATCTTCAGAATGGTTAGAAAATGTAAATATATTTTAACTCAAATGAAAGCCCTCAAATATATTTAAAACATATTTTAAATATGTATCATTGCTGATTAAGACCTTATTTTCCTCTAAAACATAGCAAAAAGAGAAGTATAATTAGATGTCATGGAGTTGTGATTGTTTCAAATTCATTGGACAGACTAGCTGTCAGCAAGATAAATGAATCATCCATAGATAATTCATATTGCCATATTTATGAGAGTGGGATTGGAAAAAGAAAAGCAGTCAATTAAATTGAAAAGGAAAATATTGCATGGGACAGTTTTCCAAATGCATGTGACAAGTGAAACTAAGATTTCTTAAAAACTGAAATGTGAAATCTTTTACTTATTTCTGGTATAGTTTCCATGTTTTATTGTTTTCTTGTTTATATGCCAAGCATCAGCTCAAGAGTTTTATCTGTTTCTTATTTAGACATGAGATGAGTGATGTGAGTACAAAATGGGTAGATTGTCCAAAGAACTTTTACTAGTGCTACTAGCAATGGAGGAACTAATCTATGTTGAAGCAAGACACATAGTCTGGAATATATTTAGGCATTTATACCAGGCATTTTGGGGAAAAAAATCCTACCTCCTCAACAGTGGGTACGTGTTTATCAAGTGGGAAGTGAATAAGGGATGATCAAAATATCAAATAAGACTAACTGAGGGATGTTACGGAGAGAAATGATGAGCCAACCTGACCAGAAGGGAATAAGTTCCTGTGCTTTTGCAGTAGAAAATATCCCAACTTCCCTTTCCCTCCAGTGACACGAAGGAAACACAGGCAAGCCTTCTACAACACTACACTGGATGTATTGCATGTGTCAAATGTCTTTGACCAGATATTCTCTTTCTATTCTTAGCAATACTGTTTTCTAACACCAAAGCTGAAGGCTAGGCTGAGAAGGTTGAGATGTTGCACCCCTAAAATAAACACTAATCAGAAATCAAAAATTAGGGAAGAATGTCTCCTGTACTGTTCACTGCTGAATACGTATTTATGTTGAATACTCAAGAAGTCGTAAGTGTGGGAAGGGTGTGATGCTCCACAGATACTGAAAATGCTGAACAAACTCCAAATGCCAGTCATGCCACATAAGTATCTCTGTAGCCCAGTAGCCACCTAATCATGGTGCGAAGTCCAGAGGAAGCAGCAGAAAGGGTGTTACATTATATTACAGTCCATCACATATAAGCTCTGTAAAAGACGGTATAGGAAGTTTGAACACAGAATCCATCAGCCAACAAAAGAACTTTAAAAACACTCTGAGACCAACATCCCTCTGTGTGGATGAATCAGGCAACAACAAAATGTCTAGGGGGTAGTTCTTATGGATAGCCTTACAAATCATCAATATAATGCTAAATTAACTTGCTTCAAGGCCATATATCTTTTATGTAAGGAGTGCTGCACGTTTTAAAACTAAGAGGTCTGTGTCTGATCTCAGACATAGCTCAATGAATCAAGAACACTCCCAGCAAGATCCACAGAATTTCTTTAATGAAGAATGAGTGAGTGACAGACTGCATCCTGTGCTCATTCCGAGAGCTGAGCATGTGGCCATAGTGGAGTCTTATTCCTTAATGGTAAAAGGCTTTTGAAATCCATTTAAGTCTATTAGTGCTCCCATAAAATTGTGCTCTCACTCATTTTCTCAAAATAAATATCCTGAACTTAATGGAGCATAGTGTCCTTTCACTACCAGTACCCAAGAACTCCAATTATGCATTATTAAGCTATTAAACTGAACTGAACGAGAAGAACTGGCACTTACTGGCAAGATCTCTGCTCTAAAATGCTCAGTAATAAACTACAGAAAAATTAGCAAGTGGTTATAAAACTGCCATCTCCTATCAGCTGCTATCATTTTGTTTTCTCTAACACTTAGAACATATTTATAAGCACATCTTATGCATGCACACATATATATAGAGGAAGGCACACAGATCTACCTGTGCTGTCACACACTGAGCTGTCAGAGTATTTGAGAAAGCCAGCTCACTCTTGAGCATGCTGTAGGCCGGTTCCTGCAACATAAAGACGATGTGTCCTCTGGAAGTTTCTAAAATACTCTCTAAAATCAGAGAGCATGTCTGGCTCTACAGACTTCAGGATGTAAAACAAAAGACTTCCTGAGCCCCCACATAGCTGGTGGCATATTTTGGTGACAAATTAATCAACACTGGAGCTTCTTTGTGTTTATTGTTCCATTTGGTACGCAGGGAATGTGGAAATGGGAAAAATCAGACATTGTAAACTTGTTACACTCTTATAAGGTGATATGATTTCCAAATGAAAAGCTGATGACAACATTATAAATGTTTCAGAGGTGTGCAAACATCACAAATGATTATCTAACACTTCACCCGCTTGAAAAATCAAGGAATAACAATGTTATTGTTTACTTCAACACTAACCTGTTCAAGTCGCTTCCTCTACGCCTCTTACTTAGAGTGCTGTTCAAATCCACAACCAACCTTTGTGATCTTTGCTTCACACTAGATTTATGGTAAAGCAGTGTTTTCACTGTTTTGTTTGCAATGCTGGCATCTATTATTTCCATTATTATATATTTAATTTACTTTATTACTTTTTATCTTTTGACATCGATTTTATAGGTGACAAACATTCCCTTGAGTTATGACTGAGTTGCCTCCTCGCTCACCCTAATTCATGCGTTGAAAGCAGATGTTTGGATCTGCTTGCTCAAAATTGCCACAGTATGGAGTGAAAAGAACAAATAAAAATGTTAATTAATTATGCAGAGCTGATGGTGGAGCTAAGCCAGAGCTACTGCTCCTCTCTACTTTCACCAGCACAATGCAGTTCATCTCTGTGGAGTTTTATTGTCAATGAGCCCAAGAAGAAAATACTGTCTCCTGAAAGGATATAATAAAACATAAGTTTATATCACACCATATAAAGTTTTAAGGAGTTCACAATGACTGAGCTGATAGCACCGATACGTAGTTAGAGATTTATGACTGCAAATAATTTTTTTCCACTCACGGATGAGCTCAGCACCCATCTCATGCAATGCTGCCACGGGCTGTTGCAGCCCAGAACAGTGTACCGTGGCATAATCCATTCACCTGCCAGATTGAAGGGAAAGCATTGAACCCTTTTATGCACCATCATGCAGGGAACTGGCTAGAGCTGCAATTTCCAAAACATCATCCCTAAGATTTGATACCTGAAACCCTGTTTACATTCTTTAAATATGAGTAAGCTGAGCACACATTTGCTGAGCATTTAGGGCTCTGCCACTATTGATATTAAAACTGCCTTCATCCGCATCTGTTCACATATATATGGTCAGCATGTCTGGTCCATAACTGAGGCTTTAGAGATTTAGTTGCTTGGTTGTTGTCCTTCTGGGTAGGGTAGGGATGCTGGTTTGTGAGAGAAGTGTCAGGTAGAAGACATCTGGGCTTTTCAACCTGCCCTAGCAGCCCTTTTTTATTCCTTCTTTCCAAACACAGAATTAATGAAATATGTTTGATATCATTTTAAGTAGAAACTTATGATAATCATAATCAGAGGATCACATAATGGAAATTACGTATGGTCACTTCAAGACTGGGACAAGGCTAAATGTACATTCACTTACTGAGGAATGTGGAGTTATTGTTCCATGTTCTCAGCCAATTCTCATCCTGTGAAAGGAAAAACCCTCTCCTACAGTCAAACCACACAGCTCTTCAAGTGACCTTTACATTTAATAGGCATAGGCTCAGCTGAAGGTAAGCAGGCATTTACTTTCTAGATTGCAAGTAAGAATTCTGCAACATTATAGAAAAGCCTATATTTTTTTGTTATATACTTTGTACAAATAAGTATAGGATATTATTTGAGTAATATATTGTCAAAATACGCTCACATAATTCTTCTTAATTATTATTATTATCTGATTAATTAGTATTTGACAAAATGCTTAGTGTTATAGATGTTTAAAAATAAAGAGGAAGAAAGCTGTATGTCATGAACTCTCCTGAAGAGCATTTAAATGCACAGAAATTAGATTCACAGAATCACTTTACTTATGCTCTTTCACCTGTATATTTTTGTTCATCCTTTCCCAAGTCTGCTTTGGCCCTCCCTTGGGGGGAATGTAGGAGACAAACATATCCAAAGGTTAGTGACACTAGAGAAGTGGGTTCTGAGATAACCTGTAAAATAGAATGATACCACAACTATACTGCATTTTCAGCTGTCAGCCACATGGCTTTTGATTAGGAAGAAACTAAATAAAAATACTCCAGATGTTAAAATAATCCTTTACCTTTTCTGTGGGATAGTCATTTACCCCTTCCCTTTTAACTCTTTGCTTTTATAGGTATTTCTGTGCTCTTGAGTTTCTTATTTCCTCTGGTTCCCTCCCCTTCTCCTCTCCCCCTACAATGCTTCTCCATTTCACTGGACTTGGGTTTTAATTTCACTTGTGCCTGGGGTTTCTTTACTCTGCTATTTAGGACCAGAAGTCTACATGGATGGATTA